TTCTAGTCTTAAGTCAATGCACAGGATGCAGCCTTTTATTAAGAAGCAAGGAAAAAGGTAGTATCATTGAAATATTTAATTCATTGCACAAAACATAAGAATGAGTTATGAAGAATACTAACAAATAGGTATAGCACTGAGGATCAGTTAGGGAGACAGGCACAAACATAAAAATCTATAACAAGTTCTATACACAAAGTTATGTAAGAGCTTCAAAAAGTAATTGATTTTTGTCAAATAGTATTTGAAGAAGACTCCTTAGAGGACAAGGCATTTGATCTTGGTTACAGGAATTGTTCAGGCCCAGATGTTCACTGAGCTTTCCTGAGCTTTGAGATCTTCATAAGATTGCTTCAGGTCCCAAATTTTGTCACCTTTGGAATTCTAAACTCTCATGAGATATCTTCAAGTTTCTGAGGAGGTTTATGGTTTAAATTCATAGCTTAGATATGTATGAGTCATCTCTGTGTCCCATGCATTATTCACCATACCCAGAGACTGCTCTGAGCTGAGTCAAATTAACATTTGTCTTTGCATTTTTTCACTTATATATACACACACGTATTCACATACACTACACATATTTCATGTTTATTCTTTTGTTATTATTATTATTATTATTATACTTTAAGTTCTGGGACACATGTGCAGAATATGCAGGTTTGTTACATAGGTATACATGTGCCATGGTGATTTGCTGCACCTGTCAACCTGTCATCTAGGCTTTAGGTCCCACATGCATTAGATATTTGTTCTAATGCTCTTCTTCCCCTTACCCCCTAGCCCCCGCCAAGCCCCAGTATGTGATATTCCCCTCCCTGTGTCCATGTATTCTCATTGTTCAACTTCCACTTATGAGTGAGAACATGCAGTATTTGGTTTTCTGTTCCCGTGTTAGTTTGCTGAGAATGATGGTTTCCAGCTTCATCCATGTCCCTGCAGATGACGTGAACTCATTCTTTTTATGACTGCATAGTATTCCGTGGAGTGTATCTGCCACACTTTCTTTATCCAGTCTATCATTGATGGACATTTGGGTTAGTTCCAAGTCTTTGCTGTTGTGAATAGTGCTGCAATAAACATATGTGTGCTTGTGTCTTTACAGCAGAATAATTTATAATCCTCTGGGTATATACATAGTAATGGGATTGCTGGATCAAATGGTACTTCTGGTTCTAGATCCTTGAGGAATCGCCACACTGTCTTCTACAATGGTTGAACTAATTTGCATCCCCACCAACATTGTAAAAGTGTTTCTATTTCTCCACATCCTTTCCATTATCTGTTGTTTCCTGACTTTATAATTATCACCATTCTAACTGCCATGAGACGGTAACTCATTGTGGTTTTGATTTGCATTTCTCAAATGACCAGCGATGATGAGTTTTTTTTCATGTTTGCTGGCCACATATATGTCTTCTTTTGAGAAGTGTCTGTTCATATCCTTCACTCACATTTTGATTGGGTTGTTTGTTTTTTTCTTGTAAATTTGTTTAAGTTCTCTGTAGATTCTGGATATTAGACCTCTGTCAGATGGATAGATTGTAAAAATTTTCTCCCATTCTGTAGGTTGCCTGTTCACTCTGATGATAGTTTCTTTTGCTGTGCAGAAATTCTTTAGTTTAATTAGATCCCATTTGTTGATCTGGGGTTTTGTTGCAACTGCTTTTGGTATTTTAGTCATGAAGTCTTTGCCCAGTCTATGTCCTGAATGGTATTGCCTAGGTTTTCTTCTAGGGTTTTTATGGGTTTAGGTTTTATGTTTAAGTCCTTAATCCATCTTTAGTTAATTTTTGTATAAGGTGTAAGGAAGGGGTCCAGTTTCAGTTTTCTGCATATGGCTAGTCAATTTTCCCAGAACCATTTATTAAATAGGGAATCCTTTCCCTATTGCTTGTTTTTGTCAGGTTTGTTGAAGATCAGATGGTTGTAGACGTGTGGTGTTATTTCTGAGGCCTCTGTTCTATTCCATTGGTCTGTGTATCTGTTTTGGTTACTGTAGCCTTTCAGTGTAGTTTGAAGTCAGGTAGTCTGATGCCTCCAGTTTTGTTCTTTTTGCTTAGATTGTCTTGGCTATGTGGGCTCTTTTTTGGTTCCATAAGAAATTTAAAGTAGTTTTTTCTAGTTCTGTGAAGAAAGTCAATGGTAGCTTGATAGGAATAGCATTGAATCTGTAAATTACTTTGGGCAGTATGGCTGCCATTTTCATGATAACAATTCTTCCTATCCGTGAGCATGGAATTTTTTCCCATATGTTTGTGTCCTCTCTTATTTCCTTGAGCAGGGATAGATGCAGAAAAGGCCTTCAATAAAATTCAACACCCCTTCATTTTAAAACACTCAATAAACTAGGCATTGATGGAACATATCCCAAAATAATAATAGCTATTTATGACAAACCTATAGTCAATATCACACTGAATGGGCAAAAGCTGGAAGCATTCCCTTTGAAAGCCGGCACAAGACAAGGATGCCCTCTTTCACCATTCCTATTCAACATAGTATTGGAAATTCTGCCCAGGACAATTACACAAGAGAAAGAAATGAAGGGTTTTCAGATAGGAAGAGAGGAAATCAAATTGTCACTATTTGCAGATGACATGATTGTATATTTAGAAAACCCCATTGTCCTCAGCCCCAAAACTCCTTAAGCTGATAAGCAACTTCAGCAAAGTATCAGGAAGCAAAATCAATGTGCAAAACTCACAAGCATTCCTATACACCAATATTAGACAAACAGAGCCAAATAATGAGTGAACTCCAGTTCACAATTGCTGAAAAGAAAATAAAATACCTAGGAATACAACGCACAAGGAACGTATATTCTTTATACACAGAATATTTAGTGCAGAATTTGAGGAGCTAAGGAGGAGTTTTAGATCACAATAATTCAAACCACTTGTATTAGTCTGTTCTCACACTGCTAATAAAGATACACCCTAGACTGGGTAATTTATAGAGTACAGAGGTTTAATAGACTCACAGTTCCACAGGCTTCACAATCATGGCAGAGGGCAAAGCAGAACCAAAGACATATCTTAGATGGTGGCAGGCAAGAGGGAGCTTGTGCAGGTGAACGCCCCTTTAAAAAACCATCAGATCTCTTGAGACTTATTCACTACCACAAGAACAGTGTGGGAGAAACCACTCCCATGATTCAATCATCTCCACCTGGTCCTGCCCTTGACACATGAGGGTTATTACAATTCAAGGTGAGATTTAGATGGGGGCACAGCCAAACCACATCACCAACCAAAACATTATTAAATATTCTTGTTTATAAGAGCCCCTTTGTTGCTTGATTGAGGATTTTTCATGGCTACTTCATCCTCCAAGGTATCCAGGCCTCACATTATCTTATTACCCTTCTTGCTTCTTTCTATTCCATGATTCCTCCAGACACCATCCCTCCCAGATTCCTTCAGAAACTTCAAAATCAAATTTATTCAATTTTTCAAGATAATTTAGCTTTTCCCCACCCCTGCTCCTGACTCAGCTCCATGCCACCTTTGGCTATACAAATTTGTTAAATAATATCTGTCCTGCTTTGAACATGTTTATGATTTATAGGCTAATTATTATTTCATTGGATATGCTAGAGTAAAGATGTCCAAGGAAAAGTAATATAACTGGAAAGTCTTTACAAGTATTAATTTTTACTTAACTAGGAACTCATCAAATTTCTTCTTTGGACCCTGAACTAGTGCCTCCCCGGCATACCCTCCTGGATAAAAGCCCTGTCCTGCTTCAAATAATACTACATTTACAGCAAAGAAAGGCATAAAGTGATTCTGAACTAGGGAAAAAAATATAAAATTTTCACATGCATAATTAGTACCTCATCCCACAACCCCTGGCACAACACATACACACAGGCTGAGACTAGATAACATCCTGTAGATTGGGGCAAAATGAGAAAGGAGGAGCAGTGGGATGTGCCATCAAAAGGAGATTGCCCTGTTTTGCCTGAGATGGAGCACTTGCCACCAGCACAGGGATGGGTGTGGACTAAAGACCATCCCATCTCTATTTCAGTAGTGTGCAGCACATCTCACCTGGGTTGAGGAACTCTTGAGGAGTACTTGTAACTGCTAACAGTAAGTCTGTGATCCACTGACAAGGGAAATTGCTACTTGTGCCTTAATATTTTAACCCCCTCTCACACACACAAACACACCATAAATATGCTGTATGGACAACTATCTTTCTTCCTTTTTTTTTTTTTTTTTTGGTCCATTGCCGAGGCTGGAGTGCAGTGGTGCCATCATAACTCACTGCAGCCTTGAACTCCTGGACTCAAGCAATATTCCTGCCTCAGCCTCCCAAGTAGCTAGGATTACAGTCATGTGCCACACCAGGCTATTTTATTTTATTTTTTGTGTAGAGACGGGGGTCTCATTATCTTGCCCAGGCTGGGCTTGAACTTCTGGCCTCAAGCAATCCTCTTATCCTAGCCTCCCAAACTACTGAGATTACAGGTGTGAGCCACCATGCCTTCCAGACAACTATCTTTCAACAGAAATATAATTACAAACTTTGGGAACAGATAGTAAGGACCTAGACACCTATGGTGGTGATGATGATGTGGAAGGAAAGGAACCCCTAGCACCACATCCTGACTATCTTTTCTCAAGACACACACAAATATAGATGAACCAAGCAAAGATGCCCACTGAGTTAAGATACTGGTGGAACATCTATCCCATTGAGTATAGAGATAGGGGATCAGGGGAAGGGAAAAGGCAAGGAGGGAACTGACAGATGCTGGCAGTTCCTAGACAGGCCATCTGGAAGTGGCTTTATGAGCCAGATATCTAGAACTGAAGGAGGAAGACACAGTCTCTTGATTGGGTTAGGGAAATTGAATATGTGTGGTCCAGGACCAGGACTATAGGACTCATCAGCAGCAGTGGTGGAAAAAGGGAAGAGCTGAAATTTCACAGAAGTACTTACCCTCCCTATCTCCTCCACTTTTCTGTTAGCTTCCAGCATCCATAGCAACTTCATCACATGTGCATTTGTCACACCAGGTGTCACCTTCAAATAAATTTGTTTTTATTGATATATAATAGAGGTACATATTTTTCAAGATACATGTGATCATTTGATACATGTATATATCTTGTAAATATCAAATCAGTGTAACAGGGATATCCATCACCTTACATTTTAATGGGTGATGGAATGTCTACAGTGTGCCAGGATATGCTATGCATTTTGGTGCATTCGCCTATATATCTTTTGGTCGTCACATTGATCATAAGGCATTGATATTTTATTCCCATTTTTCAGATTACAAAAATCAAGCTGACCAAAGATATGAATTGATTTACTTAAGGTCACAGAAGTAATAAATGTCAGAACCAGAATTTAAACCTGGTCTTCTGATCTCAAGTTCATGATTCTTTCCACAGCAGCAATATATTCTTAAAATATTAGATTTAAAATGGATGTTGATAATTATTTAGTCCAGGAATGACAGATATATTCTAAATGATGTGCCAGCTTGGATTGTTCCAGGCTGCCTGGAGTGCGTGTTGAGAAGAACACGGGGACCTATTGCCAATTCCATGGGAAAAAGTATCATGATTGATTCTCAATGTCTGCCTCAGGCACCTCTGCTGGGTACTTTCCAACCTTAGCTTAATTCTCTCTTCCCATTTTTACAGATGAGAAAATTAATGCTGGGAGATTTAAAATGAATTGCCCAAGAGCACACAGTGTGGCGTTGGCAGAGCCGTGGATAAGCCTCCACCTTTCCCTATTTCATATCTCCAGCTCTTGGCCTCACCCTGGTCCTTCCCTCAGAGTTCTCATGGGAAACCTGCAAATCACTCAATTTTTCTGAATCTCTTTCTGACCTTGTTTCTCTCTCTCATATCTCATATATGATATGCATATCATCTGAGTAAAGTGTTTTGAAGAGGAGTCCATTGTGAAACACTAGCTTGCTATTGTCGATAAGATTCCACAGTCAAGGTTTTTGTTGAGGAGTTGCTGAGAAGGATATGTCACAAGGGATTAATGCACACCAAGTGCTGATTCTGAGACTGGATGAGCAAATACAGAGCAGTTAAGAAACATACAGACCCAACTCAGCCTTTAGCAACTGGCTGGTGCTAAATTTTCCTGAATGAGTTTTATCTGATCAGTTCAAGGCACCATAGAGTGGTTTATCGGTGCAAGGAAAATAGCTGAAGCTCTGTGTTTAAATTTAGGAGAAACACTGACAAACATAGCCATTCACTGAAATGTCATCCATTTAATGGGGGAGAAAAAGTACATATATATAAAATGAAGTGGACATTTAAAGAGTCTATCTAGATCATTCAGACTGAAAATTATTCTATAGTAGTATTTAACTCATAAGATGTAAAATTAAATGAGACAATGTTTGTCAATTATTCAACCAGTTTCTGAAAACAATAATTGCTTAAAAGTATAATAATACTTTTAAATGAGAAAGAGTTGTAGGGCTGTGTGCATGTATAGGGGTGCAAATGCATGAATCGATGTATGTGTGTTCAGTTAATCATCTCTTTAAACTAAATTTTCCTTGTGCTGTAAATACTCTAGTTTTCTCCATATCTATAAGTGGAGAAAAACCACACTTTAAACTGGAATGTCCAGGTATTGCTTTTCCTTTTTCACCGAACACAGGCATCTTATTAAATCTTCTGGTGTCATGAAATGTGGACTAATGAGCATTATTAGACTGGAGTTGCTATTGATGAAACTGAGTCACAGAGACATTATGTGATTAGCCCCAAGTCACACAGCTATTGAATTCTAGGGCAATCATGAGGAATGGGTTTCCTTCACTCCCAATTCAGAGTTGTGGTCTGTCTCCCCTTTGTATTAGGTTCAAAAATCCCTTTCCTCTCCCACCCCTTTTTTCCCTCTTCTCTATTCCTTGTATTGCTTTTTCTATTACTTACTCTAACTCAAATCAACAACTATTTATAAAATTTATTTAATGTGTCCACTCTTGATGACTAGACCATGAATAAACCTTGGTTCGTATTAATGACAAATGCTAGTAGTTGTCTAACCTCCATTTTTCTTTTTGACAGTTCTTGTTAAAATCATTATTGCTCCTTTGCTTTACATAGTGTATCAGTCCGTTCTCATGCTGCTAATAAAGACACACTCAAGACTTGGCAGTTTATAAAGGAAAGAGGTTAAACTGACTCACAGTTCAGCATAGCTGGAGAGGCCTCAGAAAACTTACAATCATGGTAGAAGGGGAAGCAAACATGTCCTTCACATGAGGGCAGAAAGGAGAAGTGCAGAGTGAAGGCAGGAAAAGTCCCTTACAAAACCGTCGGATCTCATGAGAACTCACTATCATAAGAACAGCATGAGAGTAACTCCCCCATGATTCAGTGACCTCTCACCAGGTCTCTCCCATGACACACGGGAATTATGGGAACTATAATTCAAGATGAAATTTGGGTGGGAACATGGCCAAACCATATTATATAGGGGAGGAAAACTCTATTCCAGACTCCAGGAATAAATTCAGAATACCTAGAGAACACTGATCATGTCCTTGCTAGGGATATGCTTAGCAGCATCCTGTGACGATACTTGGGACAATGCAAGGAGATTTACTCAGGACTTCTGGGAAAGGTTTTTGTTGTTGTTGTTTTCCAAGATGATTCCAAAAGAAATGTTCACTTTCTTGTAATTGATGTTGGCATATCTGGATAGAAAGCTGAAATTGCACCTGCTTTGTTCCCAGAGGGAAGCCAGATTTCTGGCATTGTAGGGCTGGACCTTCTGGGCCTCTTGGTATGTGAAACAAGCTCCCATTTGAGATATGGTTTCCTCTGAGTGGCTACTAGAGACATCTTAACAAGTACCCTAAAGAAACTTTGTAGCTTTGATTATTACTATAGTGTATGGTTACACACTGTGGGGTAGGACTCAGAATATTGTCTCTAGCCCTTGCTAGCTGTGCAATGCTGGGCAATTAGTTTTTCTGTACTTGGGGTGCCTTCTTTCTCTCCTCTGATTTATTGTCCTAACAACACACATCACCCTGAAACAAACTATTCATTTTAATATGTGTGTATGTATACTATACATACATGTATATGTATATGCTATATATATGTAATATATGTTTGTTTATTTTTTATTTTTTCTTTCATTTATATATGCTCCATGAAGGCAGTGATTTTTGTCTGTACCGTTTGATTCTGGATCACAGAGCCTGGCACATTGTAGAAGGTTAATAAGTAGTTGTTTAACAAATTAATTGATTTATAAATGAATTAATAAAACAGTTACAATTAGGTCATAGAATAGTAGTGATGATAAATTTAGATAACTTGTATGAATATGTGGAAACTGCCTGGCATATGATTATTAAAATGAATAAAGACAACCACTTTTCTAAGTATTGGCAAGATACCAATCTTTTTAATATCCAGATTAATCTACCTTTTTAATACCCAGATTTGTTCACAAGGCTCAACACAGTAAGACTGTAGGGAGAAATGAATGAACTTTGGAAACTGTAAGTCATGACACAAGAGTGAGGCATTCATTCATGCACTCATGAATCTGCTTTATATACAATCTATGTGTTAGATACTATTGTAAGCATTGGCGACACTATGCTTAGACATTGCCTGCCTTAGTTGAAATTATAATCTGTTGGAGAAGAGATGGACTATGAAAAAACAAATAAGTAAAAGAATAGCATAGCATTAGAAAGTGGATCACTCTATACCACCTCCAACACAATAATGACAAAGACAACAAAAGCAGGAGAGGAATATAGAGGATGTGGTGGAGAGGATGATGCGATCTTAAGTAGGGTGATGAGGGAATGTCTGAATAAGAAGATGACAGTTGATCACAGAGCTGAAGAAGGTGATGGAACAAGTGTTTCAGATGTATGGGGCAATTATCTTTCAGGTTTGAACAACAAATAAAACAGAATAGTACATTCCTATGTCTCAAAGTGAGAGTATGTCTAATGTGTTCTACATGGCAAGGAGGTCAGTGTGGCTGAGTTAGAGTGAGCTGAAGGAGAGTATTTGAAAGTAATGCCAGAGTCGGTCAAAAAGACAGAATAAGACTCTGCAAGTCAGTATAAGAACTTTGGCTTTCACTCTGAGTGAGATGGACACTCATTGAAGGAATGATGCCATCTTTTGAAAGGAATTCTCTGGATACTGTGTCAAAAGATGATGTTGTCCTGGGGTCGGGTGATAGTTGTTGATAAATGAGCAATGGTCAGGTTCTGGGCATAGTTTGAAGATAAAGTGAACAAGATTCATTGACAGATAACATGTGAAATATACCAAAGAAGGTATACATAGATACAAGGATACCACAGTCATTTGGCCTGAGAAACTGAAAGGGTGCAGTTTGTATTGAAAAGTATGAGTAACACTGTGGATAGCAAGTCTTGAAGGGCAAGATTGGGACATTGGTAATAGTTGATATGCCTGTTAGACATGCAGTGGAGATACTTGGAATAGTTCAATACAGATACCTGGAACTCCAGAGAGACATCATAACCAAAGATGTAAATTTAAAAGTTGTTAGTGCAAAAATGCATTTAAAACCAGGTACTCAATGGGATAACCAAGAAGGGTCTGTAGATAGAGAAAAAAATGGAGCCCTAGGACAGCCAGTGTTTAGAAGTGAGAAGATAAAAGGGACCCAGAAGAAGACCCTTTAAGTGTTCACTGAGGTAGGAAGAAAAATAAAGAATATGTATCTTGAACCCAAGTGAACTAAACGTGTTTCAAAAACGAGAAAGTACAGTCGACCATTAAAAAATGTGAGGATTAAGATCTCTGACCGTCTGCGTCAAAAATTTGTGTATAATGTTTTACTCCCCCAAAACTTAACTACTAATAGCCCACTCTTGACTAGAAGTCTCATCAATAACACAAAGCCAATTAACACATATTTTTATGTTATATGTATTACATGCTGTGTTCTTACAGTAAAATACGTTAGAGAAATAAGTAGATCTTATTAATAAAATTATAAGAAAGAGAAAACATACTTTT